GCTGTTTCGTCAAATGAGAAGTGTTTGATGAAACCCTGAAAGGGAGATCCCGTCTATGTTTAGTCCGTTTTTCTACATTAATTTCCAGGATTTTCGCAATCCAGTCATACCACGAAGTTGTCAGGACATCTACATTGCTAAAACATCTCGGCAGAAAAGGGTTTTCCACGATGTATTTTGTGGCCTCGTCCCAGTCCACTCGAGCGAACGAATAACTCTTAGTCAGTTCACGTTTATTCACGGGCAATCCATGGGAGAGTTGTATCAAGTACGGCTTGTGGTTGGAACGCGCCTTTCCCAGATTTCGATAGGCTTTGTGTAATGACTTATGTTCAACAACTTTGAGGATTGCTTCTGGATTGTTGGCGAGAAATACTGATAGCAAGTGACCGCTGTCAATGGTTCTTATGATTTGCTCAAAGTCATATATTGGACAAGCAGTTCTAACACATCTGACTCAAAGGTATCCGCTGAAGTCATGTTGTTCCAATCTGTAGACGGTAAATTGATATCACCTGTGATGATGGTGAAATGGCATCCATAGCATCTCCGAGTTCTATCTATAGAGGCCATTAAGCATTGGAATTTTTTTAGACTCCATCGATAAACACTGTTGGTGCACAGTAGACTGAGCACACGAGAAAAATAGAGTTATTTCGCTTGCAAAGAGCTGTAACGGCGTCATTGTCACTTCTTTCAGTTGGGAAAAGTTTGAGTTCAGTAGTTGAGAGTGAGTCTTCTCGAACTGCGACTAGAACACCTCCATGCTTAGTGCCGCCACTGGACGTACACTGTCTGTCGGATCTGTGGACTGCGTACCCATTGAGGAATATCCCATTTTCAGGAACATCTTCAACTAGCCACGTTTCCGAAAGACAAAGAACGTCTATTGTTGTCTGTGAGAAGAGAGCGTTCACAAAAGTTGTTCGGCGCTGTTAATCTAAAATGCTTCGAACATTGTATGATAAGATGTTAAGAAATGGCGGAGGCGTTGCTAGTCGTTGAGTTCTTAGTTAATTAGTAGTAGCGGTCCATCTTCCGTTTTCGTATGATTGTACTAAAAAGTCTCTGATTAGCAAATTTCTCTGACTTTTGCTAATCAGAGACTAAAAAGTCTCTGATTAGCAAAAGTCTCTGATTAGAATTTTCACCTTCATTGATTCGTTCCCTTGGCAGCAGTAATGCTCTATTTTCTTTTTCTTGTTCTTCTTTTGAGAGGTATCTACTATGGAAACAATCGCGTTTTTTCCAGACTTCATCACATTGTCGCTTTCATACTCTCAGAGAGTCCTAAGCCTAGATTACAATATGAGCCTTTTCTCAATACCATTGCCGATAGTTAGTAAGAGTGGCCTAGGTTGTTTTCGGTTCGCATCGTACTTTCCCACTCTCCGTATATCCTTGATTTCAGCCTCGACGTCCAAATGTTTTAATATGTTATTCATCTCGACCAGTTCGCACTTTACTCTGCCTTCATTAAATTCTTCGATACCTCGGACTCTTGTTGTAGAAGTAACTGTGCATATGAGAATAACATTGTTTCTGCTATTCTGTAATTCGCGCAGAAGAATTTCGGAGAAGCCAGTACACTACTTTGACCAATGCATTTCACTCGAGCACACTACACAATAAAATATTTTTGCATTTGTTGTTGGTGCCTTGCATGTTTTGCATGCATGCTGTCTCCCAGAGATACTGATCATAGTCGAAGAGAAATTGATGGATAGCCTGTGGTAGACGCAAACGTCCGAACTGCCACAGGTAAAGTTGCTTTGCTTGGCTACCAAGGCGTGAAGCAATTCACCGCAAGAAATTGGTCGCTCAGATTGATGGTCGCTTTCCTTCCAGGTTTTTCGCACATACACGCAATATGTGATTCGATCCTCGATGCGGTCGCACAAAATGCGCACGAATGACTTTACAGCAAATCGGCCGACAGCGATTGATTGGATGAAGGGAGTGTCAATTACCACTCCTCGAATCGATCATGTTATCTGGAACTATTTAATAAGGAATATAAATTGGTAAAATCTATATGTATTATCTAGTACAGTGCTGTTTTACAACTCAGACTACGTGGATCGTATTGCCTTCGTAATTTGTTTAGAAAGAAAACTTGATTTTGCATTTGTTTTTTTTTTAGATTTCGTCGGCTTAGTTTCTGATTAAGTCTTTTTTTTTGCAATTTCCTTCTAAATTTTTCTAGATAAACTGTACTTTACAGCAGCCTAAGGCCTCAACTTTCTGTCTGTTTTTCAGAGAACGATCGGATAATTTGTGAGATTTTTAATCCGTAGCGGATTTAGGGCGGCGGATGCCCCCACCCCCTCAGGGATTCGACCCCCTGTCGATCCAAATGGTCCCCCTTTGTACAATATCCATTTTTGGTTACGGACCCTAAAAGTTTTTTAAAGGCGCCTTTGGCGCCAATATATACCAATTTTTGAGGGGGGAGCGCGCACCGAAAAACGCGATTTTTTGGTCAAAACTTTCCAAAAAGTACCTAAAATGGCCCAGGCAATCTAAAAAGTGCCTAAGCAATCGTATCTTTTTAAGTAGGAAATTTTTTTTGCCACTTTTTTCCTTGCTCAGATCATAAACCAACAAAAAATAGCTTGAATGGTTCGACGGAAGCTGCACAAATTTCTTTGAAGAGAAAATTTAGCAATGCAAATGTCTGATTATGAAAAACTCCCTCAGAACAACGAAAATGTTCCAGTTTTGCCGAAATGTTGGTCAATTATCAACGATATGATCAAGTAGAGGTACATCTGGATGAATTCTCACTTGAAGAAGTATGCTCCCCTTAAAACAGAACATCAAAGCAGTCTACATCCATGGGTCTCCAGAAAAACATCACCTAATCAAAAAAGTCAAAACAGTGAAACAACAGCAGCAAAGACATCAAAATTTGTGCTTGACATAAAAAATATCACGCTTAGAAACCAGATTACACCAATGATTGAAATTGATCAACAGTTTGCGAAGCTATATTAGCAATTAACCGAAGTATAAAGCCGTTTTTCAAGTGTTTTAAATGAATAAGATCAAGAGTCACAAATCCCACTTTCTGTGCGATGGGGTAACATCACTGCTGATATGTTAAATCAATGCAATTTGCTTGACGCATGTTTTCATTCTGTCTTTTTTCATGTGGTTGCACAAACTTCAGTTGTCCCTGAAGTCAAGAGTGATGTTATCATAAGCCACTGCGACACATCACAACCTAGGATATTTTCCATACTGGAATCTATCGATGTCACGAATTTCAGAGGGAATGATGAACTGCCTTCTGTGTTACGCAGAAACAGCACAAATATTTCTGTTTTTTCGATAAAACTCTTCTACAAGTACGATAAAAGTTTTTGAAAGCCATTTGTTGAAAAGATTTCAGTTTGTACAAATTGATGATGTAGCATCAGAGTACTTTGTTATTACAAGCGGAGTGCCACAAGGCTCCCTTCTTGGCCCACTGCTATTTCTTCTGTACGTTTTCGACTTTGACCGTAAGATGAAATCAAAGCCTTTTATGCTTGCTGACGATGCTAAGTTATTACAATTACGCTCGATAAAGGACCCGTCAGGTCTTAGAATGATCTCGAAATCTTAGAGAATTGGTGCTTCGAAAATCAAATGTTTTTTCAACCCCGATATATGTCACTTCAATTCGTTCTAATGAAAAAGGGGAAATAAAACTACGAATTGAATCGGGAGAACTTGAACAATCACATTGCGAAAAAGACATGAGAATATTTGTTGCCGATAATTTGAAGTGGAGTGCTCATGCAAATGCAGTTTGTGGTAAAGCTATATCCTGTATTTTATTTTTGTCGTAAAGTTTCGATAATCCGAGACATGACCAGACGAGCTGGTAGTGAGATAAAAATCGTAAAAGAATTCTAAAACTTTGGTGAGTCCTTTTGATGACGTATTTTTCAGCTCCTCTTTTTAACGGATACCATCCATAGTCGCTGTGGATTTATGTTTCTTGCATTTTTCTGAAAATTTGTTTTCAGTTTTTTTTTGTTATCGTTCTATCTGATTAGTGAATGGCTTTTCTCGAAAAAACACGAGTGACTGTTAATTAGCATACTAATGGCTATGATTTTTTGTGGATTTGTAGTTATGAGGTGTAAATCTTGTCATTACTTAATACGGTTTTGTATTTTTTTACTGTCTTACTATTCCGGCTTTGTTTTAATTTCTCAGTTTTCTATAAAATTGGACAAACGAAGGAAACTTAGTTTTTTTTTCTCTGAATCGCAAGTGGTGTGAAGTTCTGCTTCGCCTCTGTCGTCAGATTCTGACATGACAATTAGACGTATATCAGTTCACCATTCAGGATCTATTATGCAATTTATGAAGTGAAACACCGTTTAATCCGGCGGAGGCTCAACAAACCGCCATATATTGAAGCCAAATTTGCATCAGAATAATGCAAATTACGTCAGAATTACGCAACAATTGCATTTAAAAAGAGAATTGTATAACCAGTGGCGTCCGCAGAAGTTTTTTATGGGGGGGGCAGTTTTTCGAAAAGTTTTGAAATTTTTGCGTACCTTTTTTTAGGTCGGCCGATTTGATTTTCCGAGCTCTCACAAATTACTAAAAAGACCCTGATTTATCAAAAAATTTCTGCGTCGCAGGCAAACTTTTTAAAAAACAGGCCAAAATTCGGAAGATTTTTGGAAAGTTTTGACAAAAAATGCGTTTTTTAGGCGCGCGCTTCCTCAAATTTAGTTATTTTGGGGCCAGCCCAAAATGGATTTTGTAAAGTTATACCAAAGGGGAATTTTTGGAGAAATTTGGCAACCAGAATTGATGGAGGAAGGACGCGATCGCCACCTCCTCCTCCCCCCCCTCCTCCTCGGCAAGCTACTGTGCATAACAATATTAATTTTCGTCTTGTTGGAATGGTAATCTTATTTTCGGCTTGTTAGCCTACCGTCGAAACGCCCAAAGTAAACCATCTTTATCTCGTTTGATAAGTTGAGACGATGAATTAGAAGAGTTGAATATTTGAAATTAAATATAAGGACCAAACTTCTGACACCGCTTTATCTAGCCTCATGATGAAAATAATAGAAATTGGACGCTGAGCATTCTTTGGATTACTCGAAACTTTAAAATGTTATTAACATCTTTCATCACTAAACCATTGATCCAAGTTTTGCTGTTAATATTAGTGTTCCAGGTTTCAAATGTTGCAACACAAATTTCAAAGCCCAATATTTTGTTCATCTTGATTGATGATTTGGGTTTCAACGATGTTTCATACCACGGAAGTGTTCAGACCAAGACACCCCACATAGACAAATTGGCGCAGGTAGGGAACGTCTAAAATTTGTTTTTACACAAGCATAGCTTGTGTTATAGTTTGAACTTTCTTTTTAGTCGCAAATATTGTTGCGATGCAATTGTTAAGACTAAATGTGTTCATTTTGAAAGTGCTCATTTTGATCCAGCTATTAAGTGTACAGCCAATGCTAAGGATATTAACACATACTATTGTATTGCAAATAGCACTTTAGCTTTGATGCATCATGGATCTGTAGCGTAGAGGTTGGGAAGGAGAGTAGCAGCAAAATAAGAGGGTTCGAACCGGGGCAGGGTCAAATGTTTTTAATGAATTTTTTCGTATACTAGTTTAAATGCGTCCGCTCTATAAATTGAGGCATGCTACTTGGTAAATTTCGTTTTTCAAATTGACTGGTACTGCTAATGCGTATAAATAGGCTTGTGTCACTTAGCAATTATGTAGCGTGCGTCACTCGATATTGGCGTGCGTCACTTATGAAATTTTTTAGACTGAAAGTTTAACTCATTCATTTTCACAGTAGCGTTATCGGTCATATTTTTGCTTGTGTATGCGAAGTGCAACTTCGCCTCTGTGTAAATTATTATATACCGTGAGCTAAAGAACTACGCCAAGCATTGAAGCCGCCGTAAGCTCAAGCGTCAGCGTTTTAAGTATTGTTATGAAAATGCAAATCGAAGCAAATTTCTGATTTTTTTTTTCAAAATTCACTGTCCTCAAAAATCGCTTCATGTTAAATGGCCAATTCTGATCGGCTGATAATTTTCACTTAGAACCAAGTTAACATCCTCCCCCCCCCTGCTTTGGCGGGGAGGATGTTAGCTTGGTCCCCTAATGTAAATAGTTCCTCAAAATTATTCAATTTAGTGCTTTGATGACGTCAATTTAAGTATCGAATAAGTTTGCGCGAATGAGGCAGGTTAATTACGTTTGAGAAAAAGTTTTATTAAAGTATCGAATAAATTTGAGCGATTTAGGCACGCTAATTACGTTCGAGAAAGTTTTAAAACGACCGACGGTTGCATTTTGAGTTAGTTTATTGCAGTATTTGTCTAAATTTTTTCTCTAACACTGCTTTTTACCGGGACCCTTCTATTACACTTGTACCGCTTTAAGTTTGCGAATAAAGGGATAGTTTTGGTATTTGTGCACAAGGTAGTTTCTGGATAACCTGAGTGGAAAACTTTTCAGTTGCTGTGCATTTTCAAGTTTAAAACAATAGCAGATAAATAAAAAAACTGCTCGTATGTCAGGGCAAACTCCTGAGTGTTCCTTTTGCCCCCTAATCCATATCGAATAATATTTTGGGAAACGAAGATACTAAAAAACTGTAATTTTTGGAGAAAATCAAAGATCAAGTGTGAAAAATGGATTTATTCGAAATTAGTACGACCGATTAGCTAGCCTCAATTCAATTTGGAACGATTTTGTTCACGCATAAATCATTCGCGTTACGCTTTCAGGATTATGAATTAATTCTTCAAAAATCGCATAAATTTTTCCAGAGCATCGCCAGATTGGCAATTTTCAAACTCCCAAAACTTTGCAAAATGATCGGAGGTAAAATATCTTTGTAAATTTGATTTTAGGAAGTCGATGTCTTCAATGGAGCATATTTTTTGGTCAAAAACTACTATTGTTTCGATCGCTAAAAATTGACTGAATAAAAAAACCAAACCAAGCGTAACTATTCCGTTTTCTCCGAAAGTCGGAACAAAAATGGTTGGTTGCTTGTTGCTGTGCAAGATTCAAGGCAAAAAAGCTTCGCTGAACAAAAACATGGAATGTGAGAACTAAAACGAAAATGGACTGTCCTTGCTAAAGTCAGTTAAAGCCTTCTGATTGCTAATTAAGTTAGTTAGGCAGAGTAGTTAAACGCTTCTGATAGCTCATCTTCTATAGGATGTCTAACTTATTTGTTCTAACTAATTTTCGTGGCTTTACAAATCAGTCCTCTTTATACAAAACAGTCCTGTACAAAATAGTCCGAAAAATTATATCAAAGTCCAGAAAAACAGTCCCAAAAAAGTTCAAAAAGTAGCCCGAAAAACAGTTCAATTGATAAAAGTGACAATTGTTCCAGAAACGGAGAAAATTTTGCTCGGATTTAAATTTTCTGAAATTAACTAATCCGGGTTATAGTTGGTATTATAGAAGAGAATATAAACCTACCTAGATAACAGCAGCGTCCACTAATTAAAAGCAATAATTCGCGAAACATAGAAGTAAACACAATTGAAAAATTGACTCTGTTTAATCCAGTTGAAACATACAGGTTTCCTAAGTTGTTTCTTTTTGCGAACACGGCATCACTCAGTGGAAACACTTCACTTACTATCAAAAGATTTTTTTCTTTTAAATAAAAATTACTAATTTATGAAGGGTGTGCATATAATAAACACCGAACACTGTCCGACAATTTGTTCCTTTCCTGGCACTGTGCATAAAGGAGTTGCAATGGACGTGTGCGTGCAAAAAAGGACTCATTTGAGATCGTTAAAGATCACTTTCACTTCCCCTATCCGGCTGATATCGAAAAAGTAAGTTCAGGAAAACGCTTAAAGCTGTAACATCAGTTTCGAATGTAACACCACGGCAGGTTATTTTTGCAGCCCAGGAAACAGTTGTTCATTTACCAAGTTACTCTTTTATTTAACCAGCTGTAAATAAACTTTCAAAACAAGACCAAAGATGGCAGAGTCAACTTTGCTGACTGGCTTTGAATTACCTCTGGCCCTACAGAAAACTCACGTTGGGAGCCGTTTTTTTGATACGATTCTGGTGCCCAAGATGATGATCAGCTTACTGTGTTCGCCACTTTACCTGGGCTAGAGATGCTTGTTCTGTCAGATGATTGGTTCTTCAATTGAACGTTTTTGACTGCTCCGAGTGCATTTTACCAAGTTTATAAATACACGCTTCTGTTCGAGGATGTCTTATACCTCTCGTTTACGCTCTGCTTTCCGATAAAAAGGAATCAACTTATTGTCGCTTTCTCAATGTGTTAAAAGTTGAGTCCCCTAAACGTTACAGTTGATTTTGAAGAAAGCTATGCGAAACTCAATGGCAGCTACCCATCAGAGAGCTAAAATTAAGTTTTTTTTCGATTTGAGTCAAAGCAATGAACTTAAGCTTCGTGAGCTTAATCGATTGCTTCTGTCAACAGCGTTTCTACCCGTAGAAGACGTCCCTGCTGAGTTCTGCAAGCTCTATCATCCGATGAAATTCATCGAATTTACAACTATTTGGAGGACAGATATGAGTAGACTGACTTTTCGAGGACGAAAGAAGCCCAGATTTGACAAAGAGCAATGGAGTTACCATCAAAGAGTATAAAACGAACTTCCTCGCACCATCATCGTTGTAGACGGTTGGAACAGCAAGTTTGTAAAGTTAATCAATAGCAAGCACCCTGCCTTTCCAAAACTCATCCGGAAGCTCAAGGCTGAACAGAAAAATAACGACATTTAATTGGGAAAAATGTATACAGGACAAAAAATAGCTAGACTTAAAAAAATTAAATACCAAAATCTCGGTAAAAATTTAATGACTATGATTAAGGCATATCAATCTGACGTTATCATTGGGTCTCTGAGGGGGTGTACTGATAATATTAAATTATGAACATATTTTTATTTTGTTATAAATTTATTCCGTATTGCCAAGCAAAAAGTTTTTCCAAGTTCGATTAATTTCCTTGATTTTCCAAAATTGAGCTAGGGTCTCGATTTGAAGATTGTTGAGAAGTGATTAGAAACTCGTCTCCGGAAGCTAATCCGAATAGCTGATACACAGTTTGGATTCATGCCCGGAAGAGGGCCAGTAGATGCGATCTTCGTAACAAGGCAAATTTGCGAGAAGTACTTGGCGAAAAGAAAGAAGCTACATTGGATCTTCATTGATTTGGAGAAGGCATTCGACCGTGTCCCGCGGACAATCATTGAGGCACTGCGGTACCAAGGAGTTCCAGAGCTACAAGTGCAGGTAGTTGTGGCTATGTATACTGGTTACACGAACAGCGGTACTTGTGGACGGTGAAATGTCTGAAGATTGAAGTCACAGTGGGAGTCCATCAAGGTTCTATCCTGAGCCCTCTGTTATTCATAGCAGTCATGCAGTACGTCACCGAGTCGATGCGAAGAAATGACATCATGGAGCTATTGTACGCAGATGATATTGCACTTCCGGGTGAAACAGTCGAAGAGGTGCTTGCAAAGTATCACGACTGGAAAACAGCAATGGAGCGCAAAGGCCTGAAAGTGAACGTTGGTAAAACTAAAGCTCTTAGTATGCCAGTGATGTCGAAGACCATTACTGCACTCGACCCCTGCAGTGTTTGTGGCAAGCGATTTGGTGCTAACTCCATCATGTGCACCATATGCAAAAAGTGGGTGCATAGGCGTTGCTCTGGGCTGCGCGGGAAGTTAGTCAAATTCACTGAATTTTTTCAATTCTCAGCGTGCACAGGCTGTCAGGACACTCAGCCTCGCACTGAAGAAGACTTTGGGGAACTCGAGCAAATCTGCAAATTCACCTATCTTGGCCATTGCATAGATGCAAGTGGTGATATGGAAGTCACTGTAACTGACAGGATACAGTCCTTGTGTACTCATGTGAAGCATGGACACTAAATGCGTTCGCTAAACAACGCATCACGTCTACTGAACGACGCATGGTGCGAATGATGTGTGGAGTCTCTCTAGCGGACCGTGTGCCAACCGGGCAACTTTTTGGGCGTTTGAATATCGATTGCCCTGTGCTCAGTGTGGTTGAGACCAGTCAATTGAGATGGTCCGGTCATGTTATGCGAAGAGATACCGCAGACCCGTTTCGTCTGGCACTCGACCTGGAAGTGGAAGGAAAGAGACCCAAAGAAAACTTGGATATGTGAAGTGGAGAGCTTGATGAAAACACGCCGGCTCAGGAAAGAAGACACCCTCAAACGGGAATCATGGCGCTCGGCAATTCAGGGGCTCCCCGCCGACCTCAGTAGACTGGGACAAGGCGGAAGGAAATGATGATGATGATGATGATGATGATGATGATGATGATGATGATGATGATGATGAGCTAGGGTCGATTTGAAACTGGCAAAATATTGGATACATACAAGGTTTTGATTTCTTTTCCTCCTCACCCAACTTTCTAAGTTTGAGTCCATTTTTCTGTGGCCGTTAATTCGATCCTTAGATTTCTAGAGTTTGAGGCTTACGCTTTAACCATTATACCATGAGGCCTTTGATTTAGATCTGAGTTTTTGTTCTAAATTTAGTTCTTCAACTACGCTCATCTTTGATGTTCCAAAGTGCAAATCATCGCTATCAGCGCCAAACGATCAGCGTCAAAAACTCAAATGGTTTTGGACTGTTTTGTATGGGACTACTTTTTTAGGACTTTTTTTGCTGCTTTGTATGGGACTGTTTCGCTTGGGACTGTTTTGTACGTGCACCCTAATTGTGCATAGAAAGAACACATACAAATTTCATTCCCACTTTCTCCGAATTACCGCAAAATACCAATATCTGATGCTTTGTGGCATGATGAAACTGGAAAAATATTAACTCATGCGATACAAATATGCTTTCAAAGGTAGTAGTCGAACCACCAGTAGATAATATATTATTATTGACGGTCCTTGTTTTGACTAGTATGGTACAGTGCTGCACCGCCACTACACCCAACCAGTGTGCAGTCCGTCCAGGGGTGCCCTGATGACCTCCAAATATGCGATCAACATTGGGCTGCAGGACGGGGTCATAGAAGGAGCCGTTCCAGCTGGGGTGTCCTTGGACGAGCGATTCATGCCCGAATACTTTAAGGATATCGGATACGACACTCACGCGGTCGGAAAGTGGCATGTTGGTAAGTCCATCGTGATTGAGGTTCTAAAGAAAATGATGGAGAAAATTGATGATGACCAAAACTTACTTTGATACAAACAACAGCTTGCGGTCGATTGTGCGAAGTTGTCTGCAGCTTCCTACCAATGAAACAGAAAGGCAAAATTAATGTTCTGATTTTCAAAGAAAACTAAATTTTTATGCTTGGTGTGATTGTTTTTATTCAGTCAGTTTTTGGCGATCGAAATAATAGTTTTCAACATGAAAATTTTGTTCCCCATTGAAGATATCGAGTCCCTGAAATCAAATGTAAAAAGATATTTTACTTCCAAGTTTTTGCAAAGTTTATGGAGTTTGAAAATTGCCCATTTGGCTATCCGCTGGACCAATTTATGTGCGATTTGAAGGTTGCATTCATAGTACGGAAAAACGTAATGCGAATTATCCCGCTTTTTTATGACTCAAACTTTCACACTTGATCTTTGATATTATCCAAAGTGTATAGCTTTTCAATATTTTCTCTTCCCAAAAACTTCTCGACATGGATTAAGGGGCTGTCGGAACATTCAGGGCGTTGACCTGATATAGGAGCAGTCTTGTTCTGCATTGGTTTCCTTTCTCGGGCCATGAAATTTCATTTTCCTTGCCAATGTTTTTACTGTTTGTCAATGTTTTGCCAATGTTTTTATTGTTTGCAGCTTTCTGTTTTACTCTGCTCTTTTATGTCGTTACTCAATTGGTTTAATGTTGTTCCAGGGTATTTCCAAGAACCCTACTTGCCAACCAGACGTGGTTTCGATACGTTCCTAGGGATGTACGAAAGTGGGATAGACTACTATATGCACACAAGAGAGACTGAGGGCTTCTGGGGATTAGACATGCACTGGGATATGGGGTGCAACTACTCGGAACCCATGTGGGACCTGTACGGAGACTATGCTACTGATTTGTTCACACAGCATGCTCGGATCGTAAATCAATTTGCCAGAATTCAAATGTTTAAAGTCCATTTTGAACCTGCGGTCAAACAATATTTTCCAAATTTGTTGTTCAAGATTGATGATCTTTGCACATTTGGAGTTTTTGATTGGCAAAACGTGCATCGCAAAGGTAATTAAGAGTCGACGAACGTAGTAGAGACTCCTTTATAGGCCGTAATAATTTTTTTGTTTTTTGTTCCGACCATTGAAAAAAGGGGAGGAACTTAGTATTCGGGTGTGTTTTAGTTTTTTTATTTTTGTTTTATTCGGCGCTCCAGTTTCCGACAACCAAGAGTTTGTTCAGTGGATGTTTCCTAAGGTGTCGAGAAGTGCAAGGAACTCATGAAGTCTGTTCGCTTGCTCGAAGACCCCTAGTTGGAGCTCCACCTTCTTCGCAGCTGCGCTGCACTTCCGAAGATCATCTTCAGCCTTTGGACCTGCGACCCCAGCTCCCTCTCCTCGCCCCTCTCAGATTTCTACAGCGCTGTCCACAGTGCTCTTGAAGCAAAAACCGGTTTTCGAAGGGAGGCATTGTGCTGCCCATCGTCTCCAAGCTCTGCAATCCCGCGTTTCTAGGCAGTTATGTCGACACCAAGACCCTCGCTAACCAGATCATAACCAACCCCTCCCAGCAAGCCTCGGCTCTGTGCAGAATTGTGTCTCCGCGCTCCAAGGCCACGAACCACTATTCAGTCTGTCCGATGTTCTTTCGCCCCCAAAGCTCAAACCAAGCTCACCGACATCGTCAGTGGCGCCAGCTGGCGTGAGTGTCTGCTTCGGCTACCACGGAGTGAGAAAAGGCAAGGTTGTTGTCCTGTTCTCTGGCCAATAGTGGCGACTGGATTCCGGCTGTCCCGTTGAAGGCACTCGGTCTCTCCTTGTCTGCCGCTGAGTTCAGAGTCGCCTTGTGTTTCCGACTAGGCATACCTCTCTTAAGCGAAGAGTCCTCATGCCATAATTGCTCCAAGAGCTTGGATGTCTTCAGCGACCACGCCCTCGCCTGTTCCTCCGATGGTGACCGCATCCACCGCAGCGACCGTTTACGCGACACTATTTACAACCTTGCCTCCTAAGCCGCCCTTTCTCCAGTCCTTGTCAAAACCCGTCCTTGTTCTCGTTCAGGCGACATTTTCCTACCTTGCTAGTCTCGTGGTCGTCCCGTCGCTCTGGAAGTCACCGTTATAAGTTCCCTGCAACCTGCCACCCTCTCCCATGCTGGAACTTCTGCCGGTTACGCACTTAAAATTTCTGACGACCAAAAGGTTGCCAAACATGCCTCAGCCTGCTATGAGGTAGGTGTCACTTTCATTCCTCTATCCGCTGAAGCTCTCGGTGACTGGTCCCCATTAGCCACCAAGAGTATCTGCCGTTGCCATGTCGCCTCTATGGCTGCCTTTCGCTGCGCCAACCGTGATAAGAACGACATTACAATGTTTCGAAAAAGTTTTCCCAGTGTTGAGAAAAACCGGTTGCAAATTTTTGATTTTTTGTCTTTGTTCGAGCGAATAAAGCAAGCTAGCAGGCTCAAATCTGATTAAATAGGAGAAATTTAAAATTGAAGCCCGAAAAAGTTAGTTTTAAGCTCGTCAAATTAATATTTTGAGTTTTGGTAACTGGCGGATGAAAAATTCTGCTTCGGAAAATTGCCGTGTTTTTTTTTTATTCTTCGACTCTTCAATCTGAGCCTGAATTGGTAAATAATCGGCCTTAATCTAGGCCTGGTGTTTCGTGGTGCTAACTTACTAGTTATATACCGTCTGATGGAAACCTCTAAAACCATTAAAATCTCAGATCCTTACCTGGACTTGATTACTTATCAAAAACTTATGAATATCACTCCTTTTTCTGGAAGTCCGTTTTAAAATCAGCCGCTCGCTCCCTTATGTTAGACGGGTTAGGATGGAGGCCATCCTCACTCATGTTTTTTTTCGGAACGTGAAACGTCGATGACTGTAATATAGCACGCTTAGCTCTCTGGTGATATCCTTCTAGCAATCATTGAATCTACTGATCGTTGCGTATTTTCCTTTTTTTCTAATTAGTTACTTCAGTCCAACATAAATCCATTGCGTTGTAGGGCTCTGAATAAATAATACTTTTCATCAGAAACCACTACAGGGCTCATCAGCGGTTTTGACGATTTATCGTACAGATTGTTCGTGCTTCCCATAATCGTGTTTTTTTTAAAGATCGCTTCATTTTTTTGTTAAAATAAAGGCAAACTCCAGTATCGAGCGCAAAAATGTAAAGGTCACGAAAAATGTGGTCGACTTCCTGTTTCGAAAGTTTTAATATACAGATTTCTCAGCGGAATAAAAAGTTAATCTATTGATAGTTTTGTCAAATTGGGTCAATTCAATCATATAAGTTTCAATCATGCTTTGTCCTAGAAATTCAATGAGCTTTATAGTCTTCTATTTTTCCTTTGAAGTTATTAGTTGATTTTTTTGTTAAAAAAAAGAGTCAAGTCAGTGTTTTTTTTACGTTAGCTGCGTCCATTGACTCTTTCCTAGCTGTCTGTTCGCTATGTTTTTGAATTTGTGGTTTTATTCTAATTTTTTTCGGCTCATTTTTGGTTTTATTTAAATGATTTTTACTTGTATTACGTGTATTTCCTAGTACAGTGTGATATTTACAACTCAGACTACATGGATTTGTTTTGCGTTCCAACTAAGTTTTAGTATGAATTTTAGTTGAAAAATAATTCATTTTTCACTTAGAATTCGTGTTGTTTTTTTTCAGATTTTGTCGGCTGAGTTTCTGATTAAGTAGTTTTTCCAATTTTCACCTAATTTGCTTAAAATTTTCACGCTAACTTTCGGTTTTTCAGAGAAAGGTCGGGAATCTTGAAACGCGAGATGTCTACAGCAAAGCGCCGCCTTCCAATTATAGTCTTCCCAGCACTTTCACAATCTTTAATCCGCATTCTGTTTTCATGTTGCTCAGATGATAGAGATGCGAGACCAGTCCAAGCCCTTCTTCCTCTACCTCTCCCACAGGGGGGTCCATAGTCCCACCCAGGGCAAGACATCACTCATCCACAGATTCCACGGAGTATACAATGACACCAGGAGAGACTACCTCACTCAGGTGGCCGCAGTGGACGACTCAGTGGGAAGGTGCGGTTAAGTGAAGTGAAGTGATAACATATATACACTAGTCCATTCCTTCTTAGTGTTACGTTAAACCCATTCAATATATAATATATGTACTTGAATATGCAAGGGCCATAATGTTATATGTTTTTTTAGTATCTAGATGATGAAAATAAAGATATATAGTTGAAGCGAACTGCACAAAATGGTTTTTTCCTTCAACAAAACTAACAAAATTGGCGGGGGTGGGAAATAAATTTTTTTGGCTCCATGAATCAAATTAACTGTCTCATGTTTGATTTGATCCCTCTTAAGTATGGTAGCAGTTCTGGAGCAAGAGGGAATTCATGATGATACCATAATAGTTGTGGCCTCCGACAATGGCGGCCAAATTTGTACACTGTGTGGTCAGTCAAATTATCCTTTGAGAGGAGCGAAGCGCAACAACTTCGAAGGTGGTGTCAGAACGCCCGCAATAGTATCGGGGCCTGGAATTCCATCAGGTAGATTTTATTCATCTTAGTAGACAACTGGGTTGTACTAAACTTTTAAAAAATTCTCTCCCATTAGTCCAGATTTCTGTTTTTGCTATTCTTTCAGTAACGCAAGGTGAAGTGCGAAGTGATATGTTTCCCAGTTATTTGGACCAATTTTGATTGATTTATGAGCCGAAATAATTTTTCGCTCACGCTACGCTTTAATATAAAACTGGTGAATAGCGCGCACCAATTATCCCGTTTCGCAATATTCGAACCCCCATATTTTTACATATGCGAGAGCAAATGTCTTGTTATTGGGAACTAGATCTTTTCATTTAACAATTTTTCATGAATCTCGGCCGGACTTTGTTTTCTTTTCCACAAAGTGTCAATGTATGCATGTATACCTCTCTATTTTATGCAATTCGGACACCATTCAGGCCTTATGTTTAGAGGTAAAGCATGCGAATGCTGAACATAATATCTTGGGTACGAGACCCCGCCCGACCTTGTTTTTTCACGTGTCTGTACAAAACAGTCCCATACAAAACAGTCCAATACAAAACAGTCCGGAAAAGTATGAAAATGAACGAAAAAATAGTCCGATACAAAACAGTCCGAAAAACAGTCCCAATTAATAATTGTTTTAACAAGCCGGCAGGCCGAGAATTGTTTTTTGTTCAACAAACATAATGAACAAAATAGTGACCGCCGCAGTCGCGCCAACGTGTTGCGAGCTTGCCAACAGAGGGTAGGACTTAATACGAGATTCGATTTATGTTATATTGACTTACTCACCCCATTTTTTGTCACTTGAAATGCAAAATTAGATTGTTTTGTTTGCGTTTTAAAATATAGGGCGTAAAAACTTCGAATTTCGAAGTTTTTTATCTTAAATTTTTTATGAAATCATTTTGTCTTCGGCTCAACTTGCGTCTGCAATTTTTTGTAGGTCGTTCTAAAAAAGAATTTTCTCTCGACTGACTTGCTTCCGCCGCATTATCTGTCTGTTAATTTACAAGGCTGTCTTTGTGTTGTATAGCAACTGTTGTGAAGCTTCCGCTTTGCTTGTGATGAAATAAGTGTTTATGTTTGTTGCAATCCAACAAAGACTTGTTATTGCTTTCCTTTTTTTATCGCTGAGCGGATTATTCGGTTTTAAAAGTTTCGGCGAACACGTTATCGACTTAGTGCCGCTTGAAGGGATTGGATCAGGGGCGGATCTAGGATTTTCTCGAGGGGGGGGGGGCGGATTTTCAAAAAATTTTCCAAAATTTTGACGACCTTTTTTTTTTTTAGGTCGACCAAATTGATTTTTATTTTTCGCGCTCTCCTAAAGCACTGTTTTGCGCTTATTTTGGCAAAAATTTTCTGCGCCGCAGGCAAATTTTTTTGAAAAAACAGTCAAAAAAGCCGTTTTTGGGCACTTTTTGAAAAATTTTGTAAAAATAATGCGTTTTTTTGGCGCGCGCTCCCCCTCAAAAATAGCATGTATTGGCGCCGAAGGCGCCTAAAATTTTAGGGTCGGTCGGCCAAAAATGGATTTCTGAAAAAGTATCAAAGGGGGGACCCTTTGGGTCGGCAGGGGGTCAAATCCCTGAGGGGGGGGGGGGCGTCCGCCCCCCCCCCCTTAATCCGCCCCTGGATTGGATACTTTTATCCATGTGCAAGCTGAATTCATGTGCAAAGTTTGAAGTAATCAACTTCAGATGTTTTCGAATTATCGGGCGTCTTCCCAATTTTGTCGGATGATTTGTTGATTGATATTTTCCCCATGCTTACTGCCAGCAATTGTTTTAATCAATAGGTTTCCCGCAAAATAAATTTCAATCGAGAAGAGCGTCTGAAGATTTCAATAAGCCTAGTTATCGATATTTTTCTAATACTTTCTTTGTCTACTACTAATGGCCAGCTTGCCATGATCTGTTTGTGATGTATCACAAGTGGTGCGAAGCTCTGCTTCGCCGTTGTCCTAAAATTGATCGCAGTCGAAATATCTTTTTAATTTTGAGGCCAGGACATTTAAGCCGTTCAGAGTGAATCAATGTTTTGTTTTGACTGCTCCTTAACTAGTTCCGAATAATTTTTTGGTAAAGATAAACTAAATTTTAGTTTTGATAAACTAAGAACGCTATTTTCCTTCAATTGCCAATCTGAAATATAAATTACTATTAGTTGGAATTAATGTGAGCAATTTTCTGCCTCAATTTAATTTAGATTTAGTTTAGTTCAGAACAATTCTCCATTTAAAAAAAAATTTGTTTGATAAAAGGAAGGCTAACTCCACTATGGAACAGGAAAAGTGTAAAGGTCACAAAAAACGTGATCGGCTTCTAGTATTGAGTTTTCTCAAATTGAGTTAATTTTATCAAAAAGTGTTATTCATTATTCGTTTTTTTTTGCTGTGTCTTTGCGTTCATTGGATCTGTTCCAATTGTCTGTTAACTGTTTATTAATTCGTGCTCGTATGATCGATAAATTTCAAAAAGGCGCGTAAATTAGTCAAGGAACTTGGTCAAATTGACAGTTTTTGAATTTGAACTAAGGGAATCGTTCTCTTCATTGGGATATTTTTGTTCCCATCGCCGAAATTGGTCTAAAAAGCTATCTCAAGCATAAATATTCCGTTACTTTTTAGGAATTCATAATAAAATCCACCCGAGCACAAGTATTCCGACACTTTTTTCTTAGCAGGAACAATACGTTTCGATAAATTCAAATGTACACGTTATGAACGAACGGAATTTGTAATAATATATGATATTGTGCTCGGTATTATAGCGATCATAGTTTTTTTTATGTACATAAACCGTTGAACCAAATAATCTGAAGTATTGCTCTCACACAACTTGGAATTTTGGAAATTACAATGAAATTTGATTTCAGGCAAGCTGTATTCTGATTACTTTCACATCACCGATTGGCTGCCCACACTGCTGGAAGGAGCAGGTGGTAACCCAGAAAACCTCCCGGATGATATAGATGGAATGAGTCAGTGGAGTGAAATGACCAGTGAGGATTTTGGTGGTCGGAGAGGGCCAAGGGACGAGGTGCTTGTTAATATATATGAGGAGTACGGGGAATCAGCGATCATTGTGTAAGTTTCAAGTTTGTATTTCAGCCAGATTCTGACGTAGAGGATCCTCTGGAACCACTTGGGACGTCAATTTAAAAATTATGATTTTTTTTAAAATTCATTTTAATATTCAAGTAGTTACATGAAGTTTTTGTGTCAAAGAGGCGACTACAAACTGCATCACGTGACGTCTGGGATGTTAGATGGATCTCCATACGATTGGTCATACTCAGTTGGACCACTGAACGAAACTGACAGGTACGCAGTCCGCTTTTTAATCCGACCACCTCTCGAAGAGGGAAGGAACTATGGCGTAGGGGGGTTTGTTTTTCCCGAATGATTAATCGCCCTTACGTCAAGAAAATCTCGTAGGACTCATGTGTGATATCGCATTGAAGCCTTATTGGCCCTGATTCAGATTATGTGAATTTTGAGCGGATTCCGCAACAGGACAAAAACAGTATTGCCGCGGAATCCGCAACCGTTTTCTTTGATTTTCTTTGGTGTTTTGGATTCCACGGACAAATAGCTAAAACACTTAATTGCTCAAAATCGTTCCAAAAACAGGCAACCCAATCCGCAACACAATTTGTGGAATCCGCAGCAAATTTACGGAACAGTTTGTGGAATCCATATCCAAATAATAATTGATGTGTTTAGTAAAATTAAGCTGTCGTGGAATCCATAAATGCAAGTAGAATCCGCAAATTATAAGCGGAATCCACATAAATTTGCGGAATCTACTTACTTTTTTGCGGAATTCTGAACAACCCGTTTTATTCGCTTGTTGCTGAATCCGCAACAAAACCAATGTGCAGACAAAATTTACGTTACAAAATTTTGTGTGTGGAATTCACGGAAATTTTGTAAATGGCGACCATTTACTTTTTGGACCATGTTTAAAGCATTCTCTGGTTTCCTGTGATTTACAGACACCAAATTGTGTGCCTATCCAGTGAACAGTTTGGCCTCCTAATGGTTCCTTGTGTAATTATACTTGACTTTTTTCTTTTTTTTTAAAAATAATAACCGGTTCCCAAATTTTGCGGCGTAATATCTAATTCAGTCTTATTCAATCTAATTCTTTGCTCTAAAAAACCTCAGAAAAACTAGAAAAATTGTTTTAATTAAAATATATATATTTTTTCACAATTGTATTCCTGGGATCAGTGAGATCGTAGTTTTCGGTGGTATATCTGGAGCAACTGGCTCTCCCTTTTTGCTTAAAAATTGATCTTAAAAAATGGAAAACGTACGTTTGATCAAGAGTCGATGAACGTAGTTTAGATTCTTATAAATGTCGCAATGATTTTTTTGTTTATTTTTCCAGCAAAAGTCTTAAAATGTGTTCAGGTGCAGTTTCAATTTTTCGCGGTTTGAGTTTTGATCTCTTTTTAAATTCAATTCATTTTCTTTCTTAAAAAGAAGGCAACTTCCACTATTAAACAGCAAAAGTGAAAAGGTCACGAAAAACGTGATAGAAATCTAGTTTCGAAAGTGTTGTTTAACACAGATTTTCTAGCGAAATAAGAAATTTACCTGTCAATACAGCGTTTTCGAACTGTTAATTTTAGCAAAACATATTAATCATAAAGTGTTCTCGAAATTCAAAAGGCTTTAAGGTCATCTTTTTTTTCTTTGAAATTCAAAAGTTGAGATTGTTTCGAAAAATAAGGCACTATTTGTTTTTTTTTTTGCGTTCATTGACTAGTTTCCAACTGTATATTGTTATGTTTTTTTTCAGATGTATATAAAATGCATATAAGGACTAGTAGGTTTTTAAGGAGCCCAAATTTAACATGTCATTTGAAATCTGGACGAAAGCTGTGAAATTAGATTGGGCTAATAGCTGAAAGATAACTGAAAGATCTCCTTAGGCAAACCCGTATTTGTTTTTTTACCCTTGCGATAAGCAAGGGTATTGCAATCGGTTACTAGACTTTTCCGTAAATAACTTAGTTCACAGAATGGTTAATTTTATACGATGTTAATTTCAAGACTTAAATAAATTTAATAAAAGTTGATTTTTTTCGGATTCATGGTTTTCAGCCTAGTTTCTTCCGGTTCCTTCTCCGTTTTTTAAGTCAGGTTGTATATTTTTGGTTTTGTTTTTTATCGGCTTCCTTGGTAAAACATGGATTTTCTTTTGATTTTAAAGTGTTTTTGATCTTAGTGAAAGTTCTGTAATATGTCATTTTGCCCAGTCTGATTTTGAATAATTTAATCTTTTTTCAAATTTTATTTTCGGTTACACGGTTTCGGTGTATGTTTTGTCCGCTTAGTCAACTTATATTGCGTAGTTTCGAGGGCAAAAGCTCCTGTTTGACAAAATCAGTTGTTATGAAAATGTATGGGATTTCATTTCTTATTTTCAAATTTGCTAAATTTTTAGTATCTTGACAATAACTTATCCATTTTCAAAAATTTGGTACCAACAAAAAGACTGATTACTACATTGTGTGTCTGAGTAATTTCCTTGTCTCCTTTCACCTTTCTCTACCTTCAAAGGTTCTTCGAACATTTTACCGGGGGAATGTCAGACTACCTCGCCAAAACTTAAAATAAGATTTCAATGGAAAGAGCAGGTATAAAGGATCTGTTATGTATAGTCGCTCCACCCTATTTAAAGGCAAAAAGCTCTGGCCTCAATAACGGCCATTTGGAAACTAGGCTGAAACTAGCCGAGTTTCCTTCTTGACTTCCGTCTCTTTTTCTATTCTTTTTCTTGTGACGCACTGTTTTGTTGTATCTTGAGTGTTGCGAAAATCTGCTTCGCCTCTGTGTCTTCTATTGATTCTGTCTGCTTATTTCAGAGACCGCATCTACGTCAGAAACGGTTGGAAGTTACCTGTAGTAGAATGCAATGTTCCCCAGAATTACTCAGAATGCACATTTCAAGATGGCGAGGAGGGGGTTTGTCTTTTCAATATCCAAGAGGATCCATGCGAATACAACAATCTTGCACCCACTCACCCCGAGATAGTGACGCAGCTAATGGCCAGATTGGAGCACTTCAACAGCACCATGGTATGGCCAAGTCAAATCACCGACTTACCGATTTAAGAAGATAAATCTTTTTCTGAAGATGGGAGCTTGCTTCACTCATTTGAGAAAAGGACACTTCGATTGTACAAAAAAAGATCAATCTTTTGTTAGCTAATACACGCCTAAACTGATATTACATGAACTCTATCTAGTGAAGCGCATGAAGCTCAAGCCTTTTAAATCCATGCAAAAGCAAAGGATGTTAATAAATGCAATATGAATAGCCGGTTGCTGTGAAAGAATGAGACAATGTTCCGACAAGTGATATAAGTACAGCAGTTACAAACCAGAAAAATCTGTTTTTCTCGGCACATTTTTTTGGAATTCGAATCACGACCAATAAAGCTGTAATGTGATGACACTTGGCTCCTACGAGAAATCCTTTCCTTTCTAAAATCAGTCGGAAAAACAAGCCCTACGCCGTATACTCCCCACATGGCGAAGTATTCGAAGCAGTATATAACTAATAAGAATTTTGTCTTCGATATAATTGAGTTACCAGAATAATTTATCGGCTTTCATAATATAACAAGATCTGTAAGTTACCACTCTGATGGTGCATATAAAATGAGGAAGATCAATAATTGTTACTAGATATGCGTTACAAATGCAATTTTCAGGTGCCGTCAATCATCAAGCCCCCAGATGTGAGAGCGAATCCTGCTCTGAGAGGCAATGTTTGGGGCCCATGGGAATGAAACAATTTGGTATCGATGAGATACTTACTGAAATGCTTTCAAATTGATTGTGTGCCTAATACTGGTTCCATTTTGGTGTATATATTCTAACAGATGAAATTAAAAATTATCCATTCTTCTAATCCGCGTATGGTGTTTCTGATATTGTGTTCTTTTGACCCGCAACTGATGAAAATTTTACAATCTGATGAAAATTATTTTTCAGCTGGAGTGTATCTGAAAAAAAATGTCTCCGCTTTTTATTTCGGCTATAAAGTGAGAAGGAACTTGCATTTGAGCGTGTTATATTTCCCCCGCTTTTTAAGAGTCAATGAACGTTGTTCAGATCCTTGTACCGGTTATGATGATTTTATTTCGTTTTTGTTTCAAGCTCAAATTTAGTTTATCGCAATTTGACTCTTGATGCCTTTCTAAGTTCAGATCTGTTCCGTTTTTAAAAGGAAAGGAAACTTCCCAGCCCAAGAGAAAATTTAGTTATTGACACAATTTTTTTTAATTGGGTTTTTTATCGAAAAAAGTGACAATCATAGTTTGCTTTAGAAACTTAGAGATTTACGGCTATCTATGTTTTCTTCGAAAGTTGAGATTTTTCAAAAAACAAGCCAGTATTTTTTTTCTGTTTAATTGCGTTCATTGATTCATTTCCAACTGTCTGTTGGCTAGAATTTTCCATGCAAAAACAGTTTCTGCAATTAAATTTCACATAGGATAGAATAATTTGTCATATTAAAGACTTTACAGTCGTGACTCAATTATAAATTTCTGAAAACTGTTTTCAAGGTCGAGAAAAAGTTCGAAATGTTCGATTTTTAGATGAATATGAGTGAGCATCAAAACTTCATATTTATTCATTCATAGTTACAATTGCTTTTTTGTACGATAATAAAGCCATTGGTAGTGTGTTCTAAGCTAGCTAACCCCCGAACAAAAAAGCGTGAACATTTGAATTATTTTGTCTTTTTTTTGTGGTCTGAGACTTGTTATTTTTAGTTTTCAAGCAAAAGTTTGATTTTTTTCTCAAGTAATTCGTTTCGATGCCTGATTTTGTTTCGACATCCGTTTTGTGTTTTACGATATAAATGTGTTCTAGGGCAGATTTCTATTTAAGCGCGTTAAATTTAAATTGCTAAATGGGAGGCAAATTACGCTCTACATTAATTAATCAAAGTGAAAATGGCGCAAAAAACGTGAATGAGATTTAATGTATCAAAAGTGGTTGCTTCAATATAAAGATATTCCAGCGGAATAAAAAAATGAACAGTTTTTTAGTTAAATTATTTTTATCAAAAATGATCAACTATGAGAGTTCTTAGAATTTCAAGAGTGTCGAGATTGCGATTTTGTTCTTTGAGTCAATTATCATTTTTTCCAACTAACTTTTTTTCCTAAATCTAATGTGCAGCGTTAATTATTTTGGTAAATTTAAATAATTAGAATGATATCCGCTTAATCAAAGCGCATTCAGTGCTGCTGGGTTTTGAAACAGATTGAGAACTTGTGACTCAATGCTCCGGAGCGATCATACTTTGAAAGTCATTTGGAGAAATGAAATATTTCCAGTTGCTTCCTTAAAATATTTTGACCATTGAAGTCTGTCTTAAAATAAAAAGTTGTTTTTTGGGGTTTTTCTGTTCATAGAAACAAGTAAAACTAGTTTTTGGAGTTTTTTTATTTTCGAATATGTCTTCTCTAGCTGTCTAGTCATTTTTTTTACAAAAATTTCTTAACCAATTTGCTTTTAATACCATGACTTTCTAATATGTCTAAATTATATTTTTACGTCAGATCCTTTTATCACACCAAGTAGAAAAAAACTACAATAATTTGGAAAAAAAACTTAAACAATAATTTTCTAAAGACTATGGTCGGAACATTCTGTGCTACTTGCACAGTAACCGGCTATCCTTGTTTTTCTGTGCGGTTTTTTATGTTTCAATTATTGAGTGTCAAAATCAGCATCCCTAAGTCTAAATTTAAGCCAACTGCTGATAGCTGATTATTGCTTCACTGAACAAATAATCGAAGTTTTTAATCGGAGTGTTAAACATTTTTCAATAGTTTTAAATTCATTTGGAGAAATTTTTCCAGTTGCTTGCTTAAAATTTTTTGACTATTGTAATCTGTCTAAAAACAAAATATTATTTTATGGGGTTTTTGTTGCTCATATCTTCAAGCTTTTTGAAAATGGGCTGCTTTAATTAGCAAATTTGAAGCCACAAAACCATATGTGAACAAGGACCTTTTATTGTGGACTGAATGTTTTCAGCTGAATATATGCGACCCTAATCGTATGAAATGGGTTTGAAGAACTTTTTGGTACAAAATTTCAAACTTTTAAGTGCAAAAATAAAGTTTAGCGAAGATAAATCTAGTTTAATTGAATTTTCAACAAAAACTATGGCAATGAATAGTGAGGTAATCAAAATAGGCACTAGCCTTAATTGTAAAACGAGTAAAAAGTTTAAGTGAATGTGATTTAACTTCAGCTTTTCAGTTTATTCCTTGAGTCATCTGTTATAAAATAAAGGTTCCAGGAAAGCACACTTTCTGGTTCCAATTTTGTATAAGGTCAAAGAAAAGCAGGCTGGAAAAAAGCCCAGCGTCGAAAGTTAAAATACGTAGTAGTCTGCAGTTACAATCCAATATTTGCGGCGTGGCAAAAATTCGCTAGATAATGAAATTTACAGTATTTAGTGAATATCGGCAATCATTAGTAAAAAAAATCGCTTAATGCGAAGACAGAGGCTGAGAACTTGTTTTCAGACCGAGAACTTGTTTTTTATTAAAAAGTAGGTCTGTAAGATGTTCAAATTGAATAAATTGTTCATCTGTTCAAGTTATTAAGTTTAACACCAGTGAAGCTTTCTAACAAAAGATTGCGCACTTTTTATTTGTAAAGTTTTTTGGTTTAATTGATTGTTTTGAGGTTTTTCGTGAGAACTTACTACGTTTGAATTAAATTTTGACCATGAAATGTTCGGCCAGCACAAGCAAAATGTTCTTTTTTATGAGTTTTTCCTCATAGTCTCATGCTTCTCGTAAATCAGCTGGTTTGACGGGCGTATGTGATATCTTGTTTTTTGTGGACAATCTATATAGCTGTATCTTTACAAGGAAAGAAGTAGGGTTAAGCATAGATTTATTTTCCTTTCAATTAATTTCCGACTAGTTAAAGAAAAAATTATATAAATGTAAGAACCTATTGTGTAACTAATCGTGAGGTTATCAAAATAGGCACTAGCCTTTTTTGTGAAATGAGCACGGATGATGAAATTTGAAAATGTTCAGCTTATTTGCAAAGCTTTCTTAGGCGCATGCCGCAAAATTTCATTAACTGGCTGAGTTAGTGATTAACTAACTATATTTCATTCAGTAACAATACCTTACTTGATTTGATTTTATTACTCTAATTTATCTACAATTAAAACGAATGATATTCGAAAGTATCATCGCTTGAGTTTTTTTCGCGCTCCATTTCCAGATATCAGTTCTCTCTGCTGAAATAGCTTGCTTTAAATATTTTAGAAGAGTTTGAAGCCATGGAACACGCATTTAACCATGGAACACTCATTTAACCATGCAAAACGCATTTAACTATGGAACAAGCATTTAAGCATTTTAGAAGCATTGGAACACGCATTTAAATTTTTCAAAATAAGCGCATGAGAAACTTCTGAGACAACTGATGAAAATAGATGACACGCAATTTAGAATTATGTGTGGAACATCAGCTACCGATGCCGTTGTTTCATTAGACAATTGAAAGAACTGTTTGCGGAAAAGAAAAAAACCCTGCATCACATATTTGTTGAGCTCAAAAAAGTGTTTCCAGGGAATTGATCCCATGCGCTCTGAGGCAACAGAGTAATCAAAAATCTGGTACGACTAGTAATGTGTCTGTTTACCGAATTGGACACCAGAGTTCTTCGGCCAAAAGAGTGTAGTGATTACTTAGAAATTAAAGTAGGCGTGCATCAAGGATCGGTATTTAGTCCATTGTTATTCTTAAAAGTAATGGAAGAGGCTAAAAGAAACTGCCGTTCTATAATACCATGGGATATGCTATAAGCAGATAAGCTTGTGATATGCTAACAAGACTTTGCAAAAATGCGTTTTAAAAATCAACGTGGATGAAACAAAGATTCTTCAAGAAACCGGAAAATATCCATGCGCTTGTTGCTTAAAGGGAGTTGGCGTCAATTCAATACGCTTCAATTTTTGTAATCGATAGGTCCATCAAAAATACAGCGGCCTGACGAAAATAAATTAACATAATCACAATTATGTTTGTCCAAGATGAAATAATCTTTCCAATTATCACTCAAACCAGAATGCGACTCTGCGGATCAATTAATTGGAAATACTGAGTATTGTCGAAGAGCTCTGCTATCTGGTGATATGTTTTCCGTTCACAGTGATGCAAAACGTACTTAATCTATCAGAATATCAGCTTTTTGGACGGAATGGCGGCAAATTGCGCCTCTGCTGCTGAATATATATTGACTTGATTACAAGGAGTCATATCTACGGAGTTTGTCTCAGGCCAGTTCTGATGTACGGCTCGGAAACCTGTGCGCAGACCAAGGCAAAATCCAATTTATTCAAGAATGCTGATATGAAGGCTCTGCGTAGGATTGCAGGAGGCACCCATGAAGACATAGTTACCATTGAAGCAGGTCTTGTTGATCTGTACAAGCTACAAGTGCTGTCGCGGCTACCACAGTTTGGCGACGTTCATCGAAGAGAAAATGAATCTGCGCAAAAATCAACAGATATGTTCCAGTCCCAAGGAAAAGACCACCAGAAAGCCGAAAAATGCTAGATTGATTGTGTTGAACAAAACCTGAATACTTTTGGCCTCAAATCCACAGACTGCCGTGCTCGAATCGCATGAAAAAACGTGTTATTCTTCATTAATTAGCTTGAATGCTTTCCGAATGTCCAACCCCGCCACAATAGGAAACCGGAGTATAAACACATTAGTAGTAGCAGTAATTGCATTTCTTGCAAGGATAGTGTTAAAAATGCAAGTTTTCACGAAGTGACCCAAGCTATCAACGTTAATTTTTTTTCTTAGTTTTATCGCTTTATTAGAAGGCTTTAAAAAGGTTCTCGCTTTTCGAGAATCAATTAGAACTATGAGACTAACTTATTTTTTGTTTCAATTTTTTCTTGCTGAAAAAAGTTGCACTAAAAATGAAACAAAAGTTAGCGAAGCAATTAGCTATCAAAACAGTTTCTCAAAGCATTTCAGAATTTTGTATTTTGATTAGCCTGC